AGAATGTGGGGCAGAAGTTTGTGGTTATAGGAGGGTGGGGGCAGGAGGAAAGAGGAGTGATTGGTGGAATGATGAAGTAAAGGGTGTGATAAAAGAGAAAAAGTTAGCTTATGAGAGGTTTTTACAAAGCAGAAGTGTTATAAGAAGAGCAGAGTATATGGAGACTAAAAGAAAAGTGAAGAGAGTGGTGAGAGAGTGCAAAAGGAGAGCAGATGATAGAATGGGAGAGGCACTGTCAAGAAATTTTAATGAAAATAAGAAAAATTTTTGGAGTGAGTTAAACAAGTTAAGAAAGCCTAGGGAATGTATGGATTTGTCAGTTAAAAACAGAGTAGGAGAGTTAGTAGATGGGGAGATGGAGGTATTAGGTAGATGGCGAGAATATTTTGAGGAACTTTTAAATGTCGACGAAGAAAGGGAGGCGGTAATTTCATGCACTGGCCAGGGAGGTATACCATCTTTTAGGAGTGAAGAAGAGCAGAATGTAAGTGTGGGGGAGGTATGTGAGGCATTACATAGAATGAAAGGGGGTAAAGCAGCTGGAACTGATGGGATCATGACAGAAATGTTAAAAGCAGGGGGGGATATAGTGTTGGAGTGGTTGGTACTTTTGTTTAATAAATGCATGAAAGAGGGGAAGGTACCTAGGGATTGGCAGAGAGCATGTATAGTCCCTTTATATAAAGGGAAGGGGACAAAAGAGATGGTAAAAATTACAGAGGAATAAGTTTACTGAGTATACCAGGGAGTATAAAGTATAAAGTATAAAGGGAAGGGGGACAAAAGAGATGGTAAAAATTATAGAGGAATAAGTTTACTGAGTATACCAGGAAAAGTGTATGGTAGGGTTATAATTGAAAGAATTAGAGGTAAGACAGAATGTAGGATTGCAGATGAGCAAGGAGGTTTCAGAGTGGGTAGGGGATGTGTAGATCAAGTGTTTACATTGAAACATATATGTGAACATAATTTAGATAAAGGTAGGGAAGTTTTTATTGCATTTATGGATTTAGAAAAGGCATATGATAGAGTGGATAGGGGAACAATGTGGCAGATGTTGCAAGTAATATATGGAATAGGCGGTAAGTTGCTAAATGCTGTAAAGAGTTTTTATAAGGATAGTGAGGCTCAGGTTAGGGTGTGTAGAAGAGAGGGAGACTATTTCCTGGTAAAAGTAGGTCAGAGACAGGGATGTGTAATGTCACCATAGTTGTTTAATATATTTATAGATGGGGTTGTAAAAGAAGTAAATGCTAGGGTGTTCGGTAGAGGGGTGGGATTAAATTATGGGGAATCAAATACGAAATGGGAATTGATACAGTTACTTTTTGCTGATGATACTGTGCTTATGGGAGATTCCAAAGAAAAATTGCGAAGGTTAGTGGATGAGTTTGGGAATGTGTGTAAAGGTAAATAGTTGAAAGTGAACATAGAAAAGAGTAAGGTGATGAGGGTATCAAATGATTTAGATAAAGAAAAATTGAATATCAAATTGGGGAGGAGGAGTATGGAAGAAGTGAATGTTTTCAGATACGTACTTGGGAGTTGACGTGTTGGCGGATGGATTTATGAAGGATGAGGTTAATCGTAGAATTGATGAGGGAGAAGAGGTGAGTGGTGAGTTGAGGTATATGTGAAGTCAAAAAATGTTATCTATGGAGGCAAAGAAGGGAATGTATGAAAGTATAGTAGTATCAACACTCTTATACTATAGGTGTGAAGCTTGGGTTGTGAATGCAGCAGCGAGGAGGTAGTTGGAGGCAGTGGAGACGCCCTGTCTAAGGGCAATGTGTGGTGTAAATATTATTCAGAAAATTAGGAGTGTGGAAATTAGGAGAAGGTGTGGAGTTAATAAAAGTATTAGTCAGAGGGCTGAAGAGGGGTTGTTGAGGTGGTTTGGTCATTTAGAGAGAATGAATCAAAGTAGAATGACATGGAGAGCATTTAAATCTGTTGGAGAAGGAAGGCGGGGTAGGGGTCGTCCTCGAAAAGGTTGGAAGGAAGGGGTAAGGGAGGTTTTGTGGGCGAGGGACTTGGACTTCCAGCAGGCGTGCATGAGTGTGTTCGATAGGAGTGAATGGAGACAAATGGTATTTGGGACCTGATGATCTGTTGGAGTGTGAGCAGGGTAATATTTAGTGAAGAGATTCAGGGAAACCGGTTATTTTTATATAGCCGGACTTGAATCCTGGAAATGGGAAGTACAGTGCCTGCACTCTAAAGGAGGGGTTTCGGGATATTAGCAGTTTGGAGGGATATGTTGTGTATCTTTATACATATATGATTCCAAACTGTTGTGTTCTGAGCACCTCTGCAAAAACAGTGATTATGTGTGAGTGAGGTGAAAGTGTTGAATGATGATGAAAGTATTTTCTTTTTGGGGATTTTCTTTCTTTTTGGGTCACCCTGCCTTGGTGGGAGACAGCTGACTTGTTGAAAAAAAAAATATGACAGGGTGGATAGGGGGGCAATGTGGCAGATGTTGCAGGTGTATGGTATGGGAGGTAGATTACTGAAAGTAGTAAAGGCTTTTTTCGAGGATAGTGGGGTCGGTTAGAGTATGTGGAGGGGGAGTTTATTTCCAGTAAAAGTGGGCCCAAATAGAAAAGGATGGTGATGTCATCATGGTTATTCAATATACAGGGCCCCCCGGTTTAACGATTTTTTTTTCACTCCATGAGTATGTTCAGTGCGTCTGACAAATTTTTTCCCCGAAAGGAATTTTTTGTGAAGTAGTTAGTCCTTTTCAGCCCCCCAAAACTACATGTAAAACGCACTTCAAAAATTCACTTAATAATTGGTCGCATTCGGAGGTAATCGTTATGCGGGGGCCCCACTGTAATGTATTTATATAGGGGGTTGTAAGAGAAGTGAATGCTGGGTTTGGCAAGAGGGTTTGGTTTAAATTTAAAGAAAAAGAATCAAACACAAATGGGAGTTGTCACGTTGCTCTTTGTGATGACATGGTGCTTTTGGAAGATTTGAAAGAAGTTGCAGGGTTGGTGAATGAATTTGGTAGGGTATTTTTTAAAAGAAAAAATTAAAAGTGTAAGGAAAGGTAAGGTTTGGGAAAAAAAGTTGTGCGAAAGATGGATATCAGTTTGGAGGGGAGAGTATGGGCAGGTAAAATGTATTCAGTATTTAGGAGGGGCTGTCAGCAGTGGGTCTATGAAGGATAGGAAAATCCAGAATTGATGGTGGAAAAGGGGTAGTGGTGCACTTAAGAGTCTTGGAGACAAAGAAATTTGTCCCTGGAAGCAAAAAAGGGGAAGTATGAGGTATAGTTGTACCCAAAAACTGTGTATGGTGTTTTAAACAGGGTGATGAATGTTGAACGAGGGAAAGGGTGGAGGCAGTGGGGATGTCATGTTGAGGGCAATGTGTGGTGTGTACTAAACTTAGAATTCATAGTTTGGAAATTAGGGGTGTTGGCATTTCCAAAACTATTATCCGAGGGGTGAGGAGGGGTTGTTTTAGGTGGTTCGGACATGTAGAGAGAAAGGAACAAACAGAATGACTTGAGGGTTATAAATTGTAGTGAAAGGAAGGTGGGGTAGGGGTCGGCCTAGGGAAGGGTTGGGGGAGGGGGGTTAAGGAGGTTTTGTTTGTGGAGGTGTTTGGAGTTCCAGCAAGTAATGACGTATTTGACAGGAGTGAATGGAGACAAAAGGTTTTTTTACTTGGTGTGTTGGAGTGTGGCAAAGTAGCATTTTTGAAGGGGGGAAAAAGGGAAACCCGGAGGCGGATTGGTTGGAGTGGGAAAAATAAGTGCCTGCACTCTGAAGGGGGGTGTTAATTTTGCAGTTTTATAACTGTAGTGTTAAAGCACCCCTTGGGAAGACAGTGATGGGGAATTTATGAGAAAGGTTTTTCTTTTTCGGGCCACCCTGCCCTTTTGGGGGGAAACGGCCGATGTGTTAGTAAAAAAAAAAAGCCCTATCTGCCTGGTCTTTTTTAGCAGCTAAAATTTAAAGCTTAACATGTACTTAAAAATATGTATACGTGGAAACCCCCATTATCGGCCATAATTTCATTCCAGAAGTCGGTTTGATCCCGAAATAGCTGAAAACTAAATTAATTTTCCCAAAGAATTAATGGAAATATAATTAATCCCCTTCCAAACAAAAATTTCACAAAAAAATATATTTTTTTAAAAATTTTGTAAATATTTCATACTTTAGAAGGCTAAGGGTGGCTTTGGAAGATGGGGGAGGAAGGGGGGAATTAGTGTTTGGAAGGGGGGAAACCCCCCCCCATGAAGATTTAGGGAGCAAAGCCCTTTTTGGGGTTCTTCCCAGCTTGAGAGTCACTGGACCCCCGTTTAAAAATAACTGTCCAAGGGTTGTTTTGGTTTTCTTTAAATTTCCCCAAAATGGGGCAGGGGGTTTGGGCAAAGGGATACAAAGGAGTTTGTCTTGTGTTATGCAAGTGCATTCTGTTGTAGTTCTCAAGGAGTTTGAGAGGAAGATTAATATTGGAGAATAATGCTCTGTGTATATCATAGGCACAATAATATGAGTGGGTATTTTGTATGTTAAGCAGGTTCAAGCTCTGAAATAGCAGTGGGGTGTGTTGCCTGGTGCAGGAGTTTGTAATCAATCTCACAGCAGCTTACTGTTGGATAATTAAAGGTTTAAGGTGATTTGCTGTGGTTGAACCCCATGCACAAATACCATACGTGAGGTAAGGGTAGATGAGAGAGTGGTAACAAGCAAGAAATGTGGTTTGGGGTACATAGTACCGTATCTTAGAGAGGATGCCTACTGTTTTGGAGATTTTTTTGGAGATATGCTGTATGTGGGTCTGAAATTTAAGATAGCTGTCAATGTGGAGGCCTAAAAATTTTCTGTCAATGTGTCTTGAAATGGAGGAACCATTTGTCAATATGTTTAGCTAAATATTTGCAGCTCTGTTTCCACACAGTATGAAGTAGGTTTTGTTGATACTGAGAGTAAGTTTGTTGGTCATCATCCTAGTGGATATTTTTAGTAGCTCATCATTTACAGTGTTTCTAAGTATGGTTTGATCTGGGTGAGAGAAGATATAAGTAGTGTCATCTGCAAAAAGAACAGGTTTAAGTAGCTTAGAAACATTAGGAGTCATTGATGTAAATGAGAAAGAGTAGTGGTCCAAGGACACTACCCTGGGGAACTCCAGCAACAACATTTTGTGTGGTGGAGGCAACACCATTTGTGTATACATTCTGGTGTCTATTGCTAAGATATGATTTTTAGGTAATCGAGTGAGTGTCCTCTGACCCCGTAATGTTCAAGCTTTGGGTGCAAGAGATCGTGGTCAATTGTATCAAATGCTTTCCGTAGGTCTATGAAGAGGCCCAGTGGAATTTCCTTTTTTTCCAGTGCCGTATATAGAAGTTCAAGCATATATATAATTGCATCATTTGTACTTTTGTTTGGCCTAAATCCAAACTGGCAGAGGTTAAGTATGTTGTAGGATACAAAGTAGGAGTAAACTTGCTTGTGAATTATTTTTTCAAAGATTTTAGATGAGAAGGGGTAGGTTTGATATAGGTCTAAAGTTATTTAAATCGGTAGGATCATCTTCTTTGTGGATAGGTGTAACCCTTGCTGTCTTGAGTAGGGATGGGAAGGTTGAAGATTCAGTGGACTTGTTAAAAAGTGTTGCAATAATGGGTGACAGCAATTGAGAAGCTTTTCTTTACATAAGTAGTGACAAGCTGTTTAGGTCTTCTGCCTTGTTCTTTAGTGTTTTGATGATGAGTGAGATATCAGTAGGGTTTGTTGGGGCTAGGAATAGTGTATGTACTTGGGTAGTTACCAGTGAGAGCTTTTGGCTGTGTATTTGAGTTTGAGACTTTGCTTGCTAGTGTTGTTCCTACAGTCAAGAAAAAGGCATTTAGTTTGTTGGTAGTATCTGTTGGCTGGATGAGAGGTTCATTTGGTTTTAAGTTGATCACTTTTTTTCAAGGCAGTTTCCTAGATCCAAGAATTTGAGAGGGTTTTCCAGATCTTGTTCATATCTCCTTTTATGTCATAAAATCTGTTTTTGTAATACTTTTTTTAGCCATTCTTATTGATTTGAAAGTGTTGACAAGTATCGTTTCATCCATTCCTTCGTTATTTGACCCAAGTCCGAGTCGTTGGTAAATGAGTACATCACTAAGTGAGGAGGGGCTGTATACACTTTGTGCTGCAGGATTTTTTTTTATAGAGTGCACACTTAGCACGCAGAAATGTTCTCTCACATTTTTTTTTTTTCAACAAACCGGCCGTATCTCGTCAAGGTAGGGTGGCCCAAAAAGAAAAACGAAAGTTTCTCTTTTTAAATTTAGTAATTTATACAGGAGAAGGGGTTACTAGCCCCTTGCTCCCGGCATTTTAGTCGCCTCTTACAACACACATGGCTTATGGAGGAAGAATTCTGTTCCACTTCACCATGGAGATAAGAGGAAATAAACAAGAAGAAGAACTAGAAAGAAAATAGAAGAAAACCCAGAGGGGGTGTGCATATATATATGCTTGTACTGTACTTGTATGTGTAGTGTGACCTAAGAAAAAGTAGAAGTAGCAAGATGTACCTGAAATCTTGCATGTTTATGAGACCGACGAAAGACACTAGCAATCCTACCATCATGTAAAACAATTACAGGCTTTCGTTTTACACTCACTTGGCAGGACGGTAGTACCTCCCTGGGCAGTAGCTGTTTACCAACCTACTATGTAGGTTCTCTCATATGTAGGCCCAAATTTACTGGTCACAGCTTATCCAAATGAGATGAGCTCGTGGCAGCTGACAGTGGCTTCAAAGCCACCTTATCTTTATGGAATGTATGGTGCATGTGCTTTACACAATGAGAAGCATTTCTTTTATTCGTTGGAGCCATGGCTAGGGCTAAAAGTAAGCAGGTTTTAAGAATAAATGGAGAAAAAGACAGTGGAATGACTTATGCAGTAAGTAGCACTGCCAAACAGTAGCAGAAGGTTGGTGTGGCAACCCTGGAAATTTCAAATTATGCTAATTGAAATTAGTGCCGGAATACCGATGGAACCGGATTACTGATTGCCGAATTAGTGATGGCCAACCTGTACTGTGCAACCTACTTTTACAGAACCATAAATTCTAATATTAACCATGAACTAAAACACTTTCTTGATACAGTGGTACCCCGAGTTCCAAACTTTCTTCATTCCAGAAGGGTGTTTGAGTGCCTTTACCAAGCGAATTTGTTCCCATAAGGAATAATGTAAATTAGACTAGTCTGTTTCAGACCCCCAAAAATACACTTACAAAAGTGTTAGGTTAAAATTCAATTCCATTGATGTAAAAAATGATCTAATAAGTTCCTCCATCAAGAAACAGAGTAATGTGTATATAAATGAGTGCCTAACTAAAAAACGTCAGAAATTATTATACAGACTTCAAAAACTTAAGCGGATAGTTTGCATCACTAAAATGCTTTACCTGATGGCATTATGTGGTAAAATTATCAGACACGGGTCGTAGTTTGAAATAAATAATCAAGAGCTAGCATGTTTCTTCTCAATCACTGGTTTGACTGAACCTTGTTAAGCCATATCTCAACACATTATCAACCATGTTCAGTGCTGTAGTATAGTAGAATTTACCCTTATTCTAATTCATATTTTCATGACTGTTAGTGAATAACAGTAATTAATTCCCAGCTACTTAACCCTTTGACTGTCGTGGTCGTATATGTACGTCATAGGAGATACCGTGTTTGACGTATCTATACGCATAAATTCTAGCGGCTTCAAATCAAGCAGGAGAAAGCTGGTAGGCCTACATGTGAGAGAATGGGTCTCCATGGTCAGTGTGCACCATATAAAAAAAATCGGGGAGCCAGTGGTGCATTGTGGGAATACCATTTCAGTCGTCCTTTTTCAGCATGTCTAGCGGTAAGAAATATGTGACTTCCCTTCAAATCTGGGACTCTTCTTTTCCCAAGTGATGCTCTAACACGATGGAAGTGTCAATGAAGATCAATTTCATGATTTCGAGGAGTTTGAGACCAAAAGCAATGGAGGAGGAGGAAGAGGAGGAGGAAGAAGAGGAGGAGGAAGAAGAGGAGGAGGAAGAAGAGGAGGAGGAAGGAAGGAGGAAGAGGAAGGAAGGAGGAAGAGGAAGGAAGGAGGGAGGAGGAGGAAGGAGGGAGGAGGAAGAAGGAGGGAGGAGGAAGAAGGAGGGAGGAGGTGGGAGGGAGGAGGAGGAAGGAGGGAGGGAGGAAGAAGGAGGGAGGAGGAGGAAGGAGGGAGGAGGAGGAAGGAGGGAGGGAGGAGGAAGGAGGGAGGGAGGAGGAGGAAGGTGGAGGAAGAAGAAGAAGAAGAAGAAGAATAATAATAATACCTAATAATAATAATATGTAATAATATGTTCCCTTGAAGCATGGAAAACAGTTCACCCCATGACAGTGACAAGATAAGGGGAGATAACATCTGATAAGAGCTGACCTTTGATGAGCGTAAACGAGGGTGGAGGGAGGGGGGCAGCTGTCCATCTGTCAGGAGGAGGAGGAGGAGGACGAGGAGGAGGACGAGGAGGAGGACGAGGAGGACGAGGACGAGGAGGACGAGGAGGAGGAGGACGAGGACGAGGACGACGACGAGGAGGAGGAGGACGACGAGGACGAGGACGACGACGACGAGGAGGAGGAGGAGGAGGACGACGAGGACGAGGACGACGACGAGGACGACGACGAGGACGAGGAGGAGGAGGAGGACGACGACGAGGACGAGGAGGACGACGAGGACGAGGAGGACGACGACGACGACAAACATTTGTCTGTCTGCCAAACTCCCTGTCTATCCGTCTAGCTCTGTCTCAGAGAGAGCCACAAGACTGTGTCATCATCACCTTTACTCACATCTTCAAGCAGAGTATAGCACTTTGTCTGGATTTTTTGGGTTATCCTAGGTAATTTACACTATGTATAGTTGTATTTATGTGTACCTGTGAGACAGAGAGAGAGAAAGAGAGACAGATTGAAAGAGATAGAATGAGGGAGAAAGATAATTAGATAGAATGGAGGGGGAAGCAGCATCCGACCCCATTGTTTTGACAGGCGGTAGGGGCAGTGACTAATGAGACAATATGTCATTTTGACAGCTGCCACTCCTGACTCAAAACAATTTATAAGCCACACACTCGCACACAAGACAAGCTTGCTGAAGGGTGATAATAGCAAATTTTATGGGAAAATATCTAGTGACTATATATGTGTATATATATTATAGAAACCAGAAGCAAGAAGGGAAGGCAGGAATGAAGGAAGGACTAGATGAAAAGAAGGAAAAAAGTAATGAAGGACAGATGAAGGAATGTAGGAAGAGAGGTGGAATGCCCTCCAGGTAGGAAAGGAATGAAGGAAATTAGGAAGGAAGGATGACACACGACCATTTACCTAGGATAACTACATAACACAACTGCCTGCTAATACTTTGAAGAAAACTGCTCAGACGAGGTGTTTTGTCTTTGCACATAAAAAAAAATTCAACAAAAATGCACACACACTGATTTTATGTGTGAGAGTGTAAAACACCATTGTGTATGACACCATGTTTTATGTGTGAGAGTGTAAAACACCATTGTGTATGACACCATGTTTTATGTGTGAGAGTGTAAAACACCATTGTGTATGACACCATGTTTTATGTGTGAGAGTGTAAAACACCATTGTGTATGACACCATGTTTTATGTGTGAGGAGTGTAAAAACACCATTGTGTATGACACCATGTTTTATGTGTGAGAGTGTAAAACACCACTGTGTATGACACCATGTTTTATGTGTAAGAGTGTAAAAAACCATTGTGTATGACACCATGTTTTATGTGTGAGAGTGTAAAACACCACTGTGTATGACACCATGTTTTATGTGTGAGGAGTGTAAAACACCATTGTGTATGACACCATGTTTTATGTGTAAGAGTGTAAAACACCATTGTGTATGACACCATGTTTTATGTGTGAGAGTGTAAAACACCATTGTGTATGACACCATGTTTTATGTGTAAGAGTGTAAAACACCACTGTGTATGACACCATGTTTCACAGAGTTC